CCTGATATCAGGATATGGTCAATCCTTGGGTATGTTTTGTGGACTTGTGAGTAGAACGTGTATTCTCTTTCGTTCGGGTTGCGTGTTCTCCATGTGTCGTATAGTCCGTATTCGTGGATCAGTTTCGTGAAGGCTTTGTTCGCCATCTTTAAGTTAGTGTGCCTAGCGGAGTCGGCTTTTGTTGTGGAGTCCATGTAGGAGTTCATGGTGTGGTTAAAATCTCCGCAGATAACTGTGGGTGTGTTCGTCGCATGTGGCAATTTGGCGAGGATTTTATGTAGGAAGTTTCTTTGTTGGTCGTTTGGGCTGTATAGGCATACCAGCAAGAACGGTAGGTTGTTCAGTATGCAGTGTAGGATCAAGAACCGACCTTGGCTGTCTTTTTTAACGTGGAGTATTTCCATAGTGAGTGACTTATGTAAGAGAATAGAGACTCCTCGTGATTTTGAGGAGTGGGTGGCGTGGTACTGAGTGGGGTAATCTTGGAGGGCGAATGTGGTGGTTCTGTTGGTGGCAAAGTGTGTCTCTTGGAGACACACTATGTCTGCTTTATGACTTTTCAGATCTTGCAGCAGCAGTCTCCGTTTGTGTGGCGTATTCAGCCCCCTGGTGTTGTGGGAGTAAAGGGTCATGTGTGCCATGTTTGTGGGTCCAGAGGATGCGGTAGATTTGTGCGTGATCTTATCGTCACTGGGGGTGGGGGGGGTTGGGGCAGTTGGGGGAGGATAGGGTGGTGCGGGTTTGAGTGGAGGGACTGCGGGAGGGGTGTAGCAGTATGTACAACGGCCTATTTAGGTCTGGTACGCTAGTCGTACCGTGGGGGGTTGGAGTAGTGGTAATCCAAGTGGGTGGCTTGCGGGATCCGCTTGTTAATTAGGGTGGAGCAGATGGTCATATGGACATGCGCAATCGTTGCGTAGGGTGGGGGGGAGCTTCATCATATCGGGCATTTGTGCTATGCATGGCATCACATTTCAGTATGACTTGTAATAATGCAATGTCCGAAACAATAATAACTTGTAAACATTTGTAACATTTATAACATTTAACACGTAACTATGTGTGTTACAGCAGGTATATTGTCTGCTATGTCATTTTGCTGTACTCATGCGTGACAGCGCCATGGTGGGTGTCTGTGGATCATTCAGTGCCGCGACTTCTCTCTGGTTCACTGCGGGTCATCGTGTACAGGGAGTCAGCTCGGGTTAGAGATGTCAATAGGTGTGAAGTATGTATAGTGGTGATTAAGATTGTGTTGTTTGGAGAGCTGTACCATGTGTTGTGAGGTGCAGCCTCATGCCGCCATGTTGCGTTGTGGGGTTGGATGCCTGTGTACGAACAAGCATTCGCCCCTCTGTCTCCGCATGAGTCACTGTATCTGGGGATTTGCCGGACTATGTGACGTCTGCAGGGGGGGGGAAGCGTCCCTTCCTGGTGTGCCCTTGATGGTGGGGGGCTGGCATGTGGTCGGTCTTGTGCTTCCCTCTTGTAAGGGGGGCATGTGTGTATATCGGGGCCTAGGGCCGTCATCCCTGTCTATGGTGTCAGTCGGTGGTCACCTGTCGGCATGTCACTGCTTGGACACGGTGCACCATAGCCCTGCTGTGTGTGGTGGTAGTGGCGGCATCTAAATTGTGTATGTGTGCTTAATCATCTGAAGCAACATGTGAAACCACAAAAGTTAAAATATTAAATATTAAATAACAGCAATGTCAGTATACTTGCGCCATAAGATAGATTTTTTGCAGTTAATTCATTCGCTCAGTTCGTGTGGATTTGCGGCTATGGGCCGAGGATGCGGGTGGGGTGCTCTGTTTACTGCGCGGGCTCCATCTCGCCAGTTCGTTCATGGCATCTTCTGGTCGCGAGAAGAGTTTCGTTTCTCCATTCCTCGTCAGTATAAGCTTGGTGGGGAAGCCCCATCTGTAGCGGATGCCTCGGTCCCTTAGTTCCGTTGTGACTTGCTGGAAGTCCCTTCTCCTCCTTAACGTTGCGGCTGATAAATCCGCCATGATTAGCACAGACGGATAGTCATCGTGCGGCTCTTGTTTTTTTGCGGTGGTTTGTTGTTCTTTAATGTGGTAATAGTGCGCTCTGAGTACAACATCGCGAGGCGCGATGTCCGGTAGGTGCTTTGGTTTGGGGACCCTGTGGACTCTGTCAACCAGTAGCATGTCTGAGGGGATGTCTGGGGCATAGGCATGCATCAGGCCCCTAACGTACAGTTGTAGGTCGTCCGGTTGGACCGATTCTGGAACCCCTCTTAGCCGTAGGTTGTTCCTTCGGGCCCTGTCCTCGTAGTCCGCCAGCTTTCCCTCCGTGGCCTCCATTCTTTGCTGTAAGGTAAGTAAATTTTCGGAGATTCCGGTTTGTGCAGTTTTTAAATCCTGGCAGTCGTTTTCCACTGAGGCTGTTCTGTTGGAGAGTTCTCTGACTTCATTTTTTATTTGATCGGCTGTGGATTGCCAGGTTCGTATCAGTTTTGCTGACATTGCTTCCATTGCCCTCTCAAAGTGGGTTATTGTGAGGTGTCCAGTCTGTGGTATCTCGTCCCGCAGTGTCAGGGGAGAGCCTGCATCTGGGCTGTCGGCGCCATCTTGCGCGGCGGTAAGCATGGCCTGCGCGGTTTCTATTGCAGCGGGTGGTTTGTGTCCGAAGAAGTTACTTTTATCAGCTTTGGGTGCCGCTTTCTTCCCCTTAGCCTGTGACATCCTTGGGTTTTGTTTTATAATGTTTCTGCTTGTTTATTTCGCTTGTGTGCGGATCCCATGTGCCGGAGCAAAATCTTAAGCTTCCATCTTGCCCGGCGGTTAGCCACGCCCCCCTTATAACTTTTTTTGACATGTGTTTTATGGATTTTTTTTTTTCTGTCTCTCACTGTTAAAATACACCTACCATTAAAATTATAGACTGATCATTTCTTTGTCAGTGGGCAAATGTTCAAAATCAGCAGGGGATCAAATACTTTTCTCTCTCACTGTATATATACACAAACACACACAACAGCTCCTTGTTAAACATACAATACAGCCCATAGCTACAAAGCATTAACAGACTCCTCTACACACACTTCACCACATGAAAGTCACTGTGTTATGGGGTGAAGTATGTATGTGAGGATAAAGTGTGTATGCTGGTGAAGAGTTTATATGTGGGATGAAGTGAGTGAGCGGTGTACTGTGTGTGTATGGAGAGGTTTAATCTGTGTTGGTGGGAGTGTACTGTATGTGGGGGGTGCACTTTCTGTGAGGGAGTACTGTATGTAGGCGGGTAGTAGGGAGTAAGATAGTAAGGGGCTTTACAATTTTTACTTTAAAGGACTACTATAGTGCCAGGAAAACATACTCGTTTTCCTGGCACTATAGTGCCCTGAGGGTGCCCCCACCCTCAGGGACCCCCTCCCGCCCGGCTCTGGAAGGGGGAAAGGGGAAAAAAATTACCTTTTTTCCAGCGCTGGGTGGGGAGCTCTCCTCCTCCGATCCTCCTCTTCTCCTATCCGTCGGCTGAATGCGTACGCGCGGCAAGAGCTGCGCGCGCATTCAGCCGGTCACATAAATATACAAAAATATAACGTGCTGGCACTCAATCACACTAAAGGTGCAGGTATCCGAGGTTAACCCTAAAAAAGCCTCATAGAAATTGTACAAAAAAATCAATATGAATACCGCACTCAATACAGGGAGTGCAGAATTATTAGGCAAATGAGTATTTTGACCACATCATCCTCTTTATGCATGTTGTCTTACTCCAAGCTGTATAGGCTCGAAAGCCTACTACCAATTAAGCATATTAGGTGATGTGCATCTCTGTAATGAGAAGGGGTGTGGTCTAATGACATCAACACCCTCTATCAGGTGTGCATAATTATTAGGCAACTTCCTTTCCTTTGGCAAAATGGGCCAAAAGAAGGACTTGACAGGCTCAGATAGTGAGATATCTTGCAGAGGGATGCAGCACTCTTAAAATTGCAAAGCTTCTGAAGCGTGATCATCGAACAATCAAGTGTTTCATTCAAAATAGTCAACAGGGTCGCAAGAAGCGTGTGGAAAAACCAAGGCGCAAAATAACTGCCCATGAACTGAGAAAAGTCAAGCGTGCAGCTGCCACGATGCCACTTGCCACCAGTTTGGCCATATTTCAGAGCTGCAACATCACTGGAGTGCCCAAAAGCACAAGGTGTGCAATACTCAGAGACATGGCCAAGGTAAGAAAGGCTGAAAGACGACCACCACTGAACAAGACACACAAGCTGAAACGTCAAGACTGGGCCAAGAAATATCTCAAGACTGATTTTTCTAAGGTTTTATGGACTGATGAAATGAGAGTGAGTCTTGATGGGCCAGATGGATGGGCCCGTGGCTGGATTGGTAAAGGGCAGAGAGCTCCAGTCCGACTCAGACGCCAGCAAGGTGGAGGTGGAGTACTGGTTTGGGCTGGTATCATCAAAGATGAGCTTGTGGGGCCTTTTCGGGTTGAGGATGGAGTCAAGCTCAACTCCCAGTCCTACTGCCAGTTCCTGGAAGACACCTTCTTCAAGCAGTGGTACAGGAAGAAGTCTGCATCCTTCAAGAAAAACATGATTTTTATGCAGGACAATGCTCCATCACACGCGTCCAAGTACTCCACAGCGTGGCTGGCAAGAAAGGGTATAAAAGAAGAAAATCTAATGACATGGCCTCCTTGTTCACCTGATCTGAACCCCATTGAGAACCTGTGGTCCATCATCAAATGTGAGATTTACAAGGAGGGAAAACAGTACACCTCTCTGAACAGTGTCTGGGAGGCTGTGGTTGCTGCTGCACGCAATGTTGATGGTGAACAGATCAAAACACTGACAGAATCCATGGATGGCAGGCTTTTGAGTGTCCTTGCAAAGAAAGGTGGCTATATTGGTCACTGATTTGTTTTGTTTTTGAATGTCAGAAATGTATATTTGTGAATGTTGAGATGTTATATTGGTTTCACTGGTAATAATAAATAATTGAAATGGGTATATATTTGTTTTTTGTTAAGTTGCCTAATAATTATGCACAGTAATAGTCACCTGCACACACAGATATCCCCCTAACATAGCTACAACTAAAAACAAACTAAAAACTACTTCCAAAAATATTCAGCTTTGATATTAATGAGTTTTTTGGGTTCATTGAGAACATGGTTGTTGTTCGATAATAAAATTAATCCTCAAAAATACAACTTGCCTAATAATTCTGCACTCCCTGTATAGAAAATTAGTCAAACAATAATGAAAGATAATCTAATTTCATTTATTATACTCTTATTATTAAATTCATAGGTATTTAGCTCTATATGAGAAAATATAATTGATCAATAGAATACATTACATCATATATTCAATAGCTATTTACAAAGTGACCTCCATGGGTATTATATAAATTCATGATAAGCATATATACACAGCTAATAGTGTTCCTGTTTAATAGTCTAAGGGCAACATATCCATATGGATAGTAGTTGGATCTGTTGTAATCTATGTACATAGAAAAAAAGTAAAAATCAAAAACCAATAATAGAAAAATGAAAAAATGACAAAAAAAATGAAAAAAATGAAAATAAAAAATAAAAAAAAATATATATGTCCTTATGTACAATAGTCCAAAAAAATTGTGCACTTTAGTAATAAATAGGTGGATCTCACCCACTGAAGTATCCTGATGGATTGTAGCCTTAGATGCAACCGGAGGATTTGTGGAAAGTCTGTAATAGATATAGAAAGTGACTGTATGCCAATCGTTGAGCTGTTACATCCTGCTGAGTTCCTGCTGCAATAAAGACTGTCAGTGATGTCCTCATGTATCTCACTGAAGGCAGTCAGTGGTACTCGGCAAATAGAAGATGGCCACAGTATCTGGGCAGTCAAAGTGTTCGGGCAGCGCGCTCGGGACATCCACGTCCCTTCGAAGGCCCCTGCAATCTGTTAAAAACAATTACATAAAAAAACGATTTATATACGCTATTCTCGGCGCCAAATTCCCGCCGCGTCCACCTCGTAGTCCTCCTCCACTTCCGGGTTTCGGCGCCTGCGTGCGTACTTGCGTCATAGATTTCAAATGCAACTTTATTGTCAATGTATGACAAACAAACAGCTTAAGTTAAACTTGAATAAACTGTATTGGTAAAACTGATACAAGTGAATGGTAGGTATATCATGGGAAGGGGACAATAAAGAGGACCCAATAAAAAAAGGGGATAATTGTTGAAATACATTTATGCATATTAAGCAACTGTGGCAGCAATAATAATAATATAGATAGTTAACCAAGGGTCCAATGGTCAATTAACTGAGTAGAGAGTAGCCCTATCTAGAGGACAAAAGGGTAGTAGACCCTAATGTAAAATGTATGATAAATATTCAAATAACTAAACAGCGACATAATAGAAAAAAAGGGGTAATATAGACAATAATGTAAAGTATACTCCTTGTGGAGAATACTTACTAGTACTGATCTAATAGTGTGCTGACTCGTAACAGTTGATCAAGGGGTAAAAAGAAACCAAAAGAAAAAAAGACAAAATAAAAACTACGAAAAAAAGAAGAAAAATTAAGTAAATGTAAAAAAGAGATTTTTTATATACAGAAAAGATACAGCAAAGAAACTCAAAAAATAAATAAAAAGAATTTGAAAAAATCCATTCAAAAAGATCTAATTATGCCCCCCTACACATGTGACTCACCGGTCATGAAGTAACCCACAGTGGTCTCGGGCTTTGCAAGTGAGGGACCCTGTGACATGGACAGGTAGCGGACCCAGATGGGTCAATCTGACAGCGATCCAGAGCGACGGACCAATATTGGTCTAGAGAGGAGACTGTAAGGAGCGCAAAAGGTATAAAGAAAAGCAACATGAGCCAAAAATATAAAAAGTGAACCAATTTATAGAAAATGTTTCAAGTCATAATCCTCATTGAGACCTAATGGTGACAAGGTTTCCAGGGTACTAATCCACTTAGTTTACCTTTGGAGTAAAAGTTTCTGTCTGTCTCCGCCTCTGTGGAGTGGTGGAATTCTGTCTATAACTTGGAACCTTAATTGGTTCACATTATGGCCACACGTTTTAAAATGTCTTGGTACCGGTGCTTTGACTGTATCATGCTGTAATGCTGCCCTAATGCTCCTTTTATGTTCCCCTATCCGTTCTTTGACTGGCCGAATAGTCTCCCCCACATACAAAAAACCACAAGGACACTTGAGTATATACACGACAAAATCTGAGTAAAATGTGTAGAAGTCCTTCACAAAAAACCTTTTGCCCGACCGGGGATGAACAAAATACTCCCCCTTGATCACACTGCTACAGTGTGAACAATTTAGGCACGGAAAAGTGCCTTTCTTTGGTTCCGAAAAAAATCTAATTTGTTTTTTAGAACTACCTATGTCAGATTTGACCAGAAGGTCTCTCAGATTCGGAGCCCTCTGGTATGAGAATAATGGAGGATGCTGAAATATCGACGGTAATTGAGAGTCCCCGTCAAATAACCACCAATGTTTAAGAATAACTTGTCGAATATCCCTATTCAATGGGGTGTAAGGTGTTACAAATGTTAACCTCTCTAATTTTCTATCTGTTCCTGAGCCTGCAAGGGTTTCTTGTCGGGTCAACTTTTCAATTTTTTGTCGCTGGCTCTCTACTACCTGTGCGGGATAACCCCTCTCTCTAAAATTATTGGCCATAAAGTCCAGTCCTGATATGACTTTCTCCTCTTGCGATACTATTCTTCTTACTCTTGATAATTGACTGAAAGGTAGACCATTTTTAAAATGTGTAGGGTGAAAGCTGGCATATGTCAATAAATTATTACGGTCGGTTGGTTTTATATATAAATCACTCTGTAAAGAGTTATCCACCCTCTGTATCTGGACATCTAGAAAGGGAACTGAATTCATGTCACAATACATTGTGAATTTAATATTGGTGTCTTGTACATTCAAGGACTCATAGAAGTCTTGTAATTGGGCCCTCGTGCCGCTCCAACAAATGAAAACATCATCTATATATCTTTTCCAAATTAAACATTTTGAAAATAGACAATGTTGATAAATGCACGTCTCTTCCAAACGGTTCATACAGATGTTTTCTGTTATGTTGGAGCGACATTCGAGCCCATAGCTGTTCCTTTAATTTGTTTATAATATTTATCCCTAAAAAGGAAATAGTTCTCTGTTAGTATAAAGGTCAGTAACTCCCTGATGTACTTTCTAGTATCACTCTGTTGGGTAAGATTGGGGTCCTTATCCAATGTCCAGTCAACTGCCTCTATTCCTCTGTTATGGTCTATAGACGTGTACAGTGACTGTACATCCATAGTCACCAACCAAAATTCACCTGGCAGGATCTGTACATCTACTAATAATTTAAGAAAGGTAGTAGTGTCTTTGAGATATGATTTTTGGGACGGAACATATTTTATCAGAAACTTGTCTAGAATCTCTGCCGGATGTTGAAATATAGAACCAGTCCCACTAACTATTGGTCTACCTGGAGGGAAGAGCGGATTCTTATGGATTTTTGGGAGAGTATAGAAAACTGGAATCCTAGGGTATTTAAGGTTCATGTATCTATATTCTCCATCTGAAATAATACCTCTCGACAGTGCCCATTGATTGAGCCTGTCTAATGTATGCTTAAGATTGTGCGTAGGATCCTGACTAATAACCAGGTAATTAGTGTTGTCCTTTAGTTGCGTCTCAATTTCTCCCACGTAATAAGTACGATCCATAATCACCAATGCTCCTCCCTTATCTGCTGGTTTAATGATAATAGATGTATCTTTTTTTAAATTGTTAATATTCGCCCAATCTTGTTTAGTGAAATTTATAGTCTGCTGTCTATGTTTATGTGTATGTTGATGTTTCCTCCTAAGTTTGTAAACATCCTTTTTCACAAGATTGGTGAATAAGTCAATTGATGCATTAACATTGTGTGGTGTAAAAGTGCTTTTAGGTATCAAACCTGTCTCAAGCGGTAGAACCCCATCAGGATCATTCTGTGAGGTGTTGTGTCCCACCATGTTTTCTTCCACATGTTGGATTCCCTGTGTGTGTTGAATACTTCTATTGCTAGAGAGAGTAGTCGTATGTTCTGTGGAAAAAAATGCACGTAATTTAAGTTGTCTGAAAAATTTATATAAGCTCACATCATATTGGTGCCATTCTACGTTTGGTGTAGGAATAAAGGATAATCCCTTATTCAGAGTTCCCTCTTTTGTAGGTACTAAAGGCCTACCTGAGATGTTGTGTATCAGAGATTGCGTCTGGATTGGGGCAATCGGCCTTTCCTTTTCTCCCGTGTGCCTCTTGTTGTGACCCCCCCTCCTGATGTTTCTTCGAATCGTGTGCCTCTCTCTAAAAAAGTCACTCCTGATGATGAGGAGGCAGAGGAAGAAGATGTAGCCCCTTCTGTATCCGAACGCCATTTCTGTGAATTTATGTCTCTATTAGGTTTATATGGTCGATTGTCTGTCCTTGTATACCACGAGTATACTTGATCTCTCTGATAGTCCAATTCGTCTCTATGGAATTTTCTCTTTTTAAACTCTTCCGTTTCTCTCTGGTATTCCTTCAGTTTATCTTCTATCTGTTTTTTAAGTGTTTCTAGGTCTGTTGAGGCTGTTACTGTTTCTCTGAAACTGCTATGTTTATGAAAAAATGGGTTAACCCTAGCTGGACCTGGCACCCAGACCACTTCATTAAGCTGAAGTGGTCTGGGTGCCTAGAGTGGTCCTTTAATAATTATTTTTAAAAAACAAAAACAAATATTTCCCTTTCCTTGTGAGACTGTCACTATTCAGATCTCATTGTGACAGTTGGTTGGCCCTGCTCCTCTTTCTTTATCTGAGAGACAGAAGGAGGCAGGGGGCCACCAACTGACCACTTACTTCTGTGCACTGCCGCAGCCATGTCCAGAGTGCCCGACAGGGCTGCGGCGGCATAAACCAGTGGTTTAAATCCTGGCCCTGTGCTGAGCCCCCTAGTGCTCTAGGCTCAGGTGCAGGTGCACCAGCTGCTCCCACGGTAATTCTGCCACTGGTGAAACATACACACACCTTGACACACAGATACACACACTGACACACACATTCACACAAATACTTGAACAGTTTATGATTTTTATATTTGCAGTCACCCTCCTGTTAGCATTCATTTTGTCTGCTTTAGAGTGACTTGCTTGGAGTGCAGCTGGCTGAGGCTGGTGTGTGAAGTCTGCAGCAGCTCACTTCCCACTCTTTTCCTCCAGCGCAGTGCTCCCTATGTCTAGGAGGAAGTGACCGGCTGTTACTTCCCCCAACATCTGATACTACAGGGGCCTCTTAAACGGCTGTGGCACCAGACTGTGCCTCTGTTCAGCAATACCCATTGGGTGGCCTAAGTGCATGGGCCACCCGATGAGCAAATAGCGGTGGAACCACAGTTTTGGGAAACATAGACATAGAGAATTCTCATATTTACCAAGAACCAAATGTAATTTCGATCTTGCCTAAAGACAGGTAAATCAAGTAAATAAATTAACTTGCTATGAAGTAACTGAACTTGATAGCTGGCCCTTATATTAACCCCCTTTATGCTTTTATTTTATTTATTTTTTATTGTGGCGGTGGCCTAACAAGCTCTTACTGGTGCAAGAGGAGACATATAGTGGTCAACTCAAGGATTTAAAGGGTGGATGTACCAGACTTATGTGGGGCTACATATTATATCTTTCTTTTTAGCTGAAGTTCAAAACAAACCGTATAAATTACAGTTGTAAGGCAGGATTAGAACTGTTTTTTTTCAGCCCACATCAAAAGACCATTTCATGTCTGATGCGTGGTATACTACTAAATGTAAACATTTACCAAATATATAGTCTTCAAACTAACAATGAGTTTGGCAATGTGTGTTTGCTTAAAGCTATCTTTTTAAAGAATACAAATCTTGAGTACGTTTCCTGCCTCTGCATTACTGCTTTACCTATTACTTTATAAAAGATATTCAACTTCTTTGTTAGATTGCCACCTAGTGCTCATTACAATATACACTCCTCAAACAACTGAAACATTTACAGAAATTCCTGACAGGGTTATTCACTAAACACCAGATATTGGCCAAATGGACAAAACCCAATGAAAATGGACAATTCTGGCCACAATGGCAATTATCATATATACTAAAGCTAATTTTGGTCAGAATGTGGTCAAACAGAACATGCAATAATTGGCTAATTGCATTCAGTGTCTGGTTTAACATTAATGCTTTTCACTTCTGAACCCTATACAAGGAAAAGGAATATGTAAATTGAATAGGGACCAAAGGCATACAGTAGGATGCATTGCTATTACCACAAAATACCAATATAGACCACGACCAACTTTCATATGAAAAATTATACTTATAAGGATGGTGAACAATTTTATAACATGACAGGAGGCTTCCTATTTTGCATTAACTCTCTTTACTAAACTCCACAGCAGTAAAGAAAAACGTAAAAAGTAACATTAAATCACTGAGCAGCATAGTATATATAAGGGTCATGCTGCCTGTAGACTTCCTCTTTCTTTACTGCTCCACGCAGGCAGGTCAGACTATTTGGCTCCTCCAGAGCCTTTTTGCATTCATTTTGTATTAGTCTGTTTAGCTTATTTCATTTCATATGCCTTTATTAGGTTCTGTTTCTATTTGTATTTGTATTTATATTGCTATTCTCTGGGCTGTGGGAAAGGATTAGATTTTAGTTTCTCCCTCCCTGCCCCTCTGCTGGCCCTGGGACTCCCTGGGCTCCCCCTGGGCTCCCCTCAGGGTTTCCTCTGGTTTTTCTACCTTGGGGTGCCCTCCTGGGCCCCCTACTCGCGACCGGAATCAATCGCGATCTTTTCGCACCGGCCTGCTCCCGCCCGCGTCCGGCCTCAAATTTAGTCCCCGGCTTGCGGCATACACTCGCGGCCGCCATTTTGGATCGCGGATACCGCGAGATTCACGCGGCCATCTTATTTTTCCGCGTGGATCTCTCTGGGGACTCAGTGCTTCCAGTCTTAGCTGCCTACCACCTGCTTTTGTGCTGGACTGAAGCCCTAGTGTGAATTCCTTCTCTGACAGGATTACCTACACTGCAAAGCCTATACTCTGTGACTGTGAATTTCATCACTGTGAGTGACAGGATTTCCTTCACTGAAAGCCTATACTCTGTGGCTGTGAATTTCATCACTGTGAGTGCCAGGATTACCTACACTGATAACCTATACTCTGTGGCTGGTCAGTCAGGTCAGTGCTGCTGCCTGCTTATTATTGTGACCTGCACTTAAGGGTACCAACCCTGTGCAACCGGGGTGAGCCCCCATTATACGTACTTGTGTACCACGCTGCTTATTGGGAGACTAGCTATTGCAGTTCTCTCTAACTGGGTGAGCCCCAGTTTTTTATAAGGTCACCAACTATACCCTGCTGGGGTTTTATACTTGGTGGAGTTGTTACCCACCACAAGTGCCACATCAACTGACCCTATGCCTATATTTAAGACCTGGGTGCCCCATTTATACTGTGCCTATTCGTGATTTATATCAGCCTACCCTATCATGGAAGATTCCCAGAACGTCCCTGTGGACTTCCAAGCAATGATCAACGCAGCTGTCGCTGCTTCGGTGGAGAAGGCACTCTCCAAGGCACGCACTACAGAGGTGCCCAAGCCTACCCGCAGGCGACCTCGCCACGACTCAGATTCGGATATGTACAACTATCGGACCAGGGATAATTCCTGTCCTAGGAAACGCCACGAGAAAGGCGAAGATCAGGCACTAAAACCACTCAAGGGTAAGGCACATGTCAAGCGCAAATCTGCCAAAGCTAGTACCCCGGCCCCGCGTCAGGACTACTCTTCGGACAAAGAGCAAGGTCCTTCCCATTCCATGTCAGTGCTAGATGAATGGCAAGCTGAAGTCTCTGATTCGGACTACGACGCTTGGGGTTCGGACAAGAAATCTGTCTCTGCTCTCATGCGGGAGACTCTTCTGGGTGCGGCCCAGACAAGGGGTACTGAAGACACTGCGGACGCAGAACACCCTCTTGATTTGGACACCATTTTAGACCCTTCGGGTCAGGCGATGTTTGATCCCCGCAACATCCGCCACCCCAGATCGGGAGACTGGTCACCCCCAGAACACCTCTCCAGGTTCATGCACCTCTGGCTTCACAAGCCCCTGGAGAAAGAGGTCCGCAACCGGCTCAGATCCAAATGCCCATGCCCTTCCCTGCCAGATAAAGTGGCTCACACTCCCGAGTTTGACAAGGTTATGACAACCTTCATGATGCGCAGTGGGAGAGACCCTCGACGAGGGGTAGAGAAAGGCCTATTCGGCGCTCAGGATAACCTGCTGGACTCCATTGGCCCTCTGGCCTGTATTATGTACCTGGCAGATGACGCCCTTGCCAGAGCCAATTCCTTCTCTGCCGAAGACATCAGGGAATGGGCACACGATGTGCGCGAATGGGCACAACGGTGTTTTTGTTTCATTGGAAACACTAATGTTACGCTCTCTTCTGAGAGAGGGAAAGCAGCGTTATACCGTATTAACGGTAAATTGGCAGAGCTTGGCACTAAGGAAATTGGGCCCCAGGCACAAGGCAAATTGTTTGGTGAACCGTTCCTCAAGGAACTTAACAAACACGTGAACGTGTTCACTTCACTTAATAAGATGCAGTCCTCTATGAGCAGAGTCTTCCGGAGCACTCCCACAAGAGGAGTTTTTGGAAGGGCTGGCCGGCCACGGGGCCGTGCCGCCAGCCGATTCTGGCCTTCAGGCCCCCGCACTCAACCGACACCTTTCTACCCAACACGAGAGTACAGGCAACAACCTTTCTCCCGAGGCTCGGACAGAGGCCGGGGACCACGCGGACGCGGACGTTCCCGCTTTGCTACAGGTAAGCACCGGTATTCCTCCATTGTTACCTTGCACCCGCCCCACGGGCCGTATTTCCCATTCTTTCCAGAATTGGGCCGCTCTGTCCTCAGACAAGTGGATCCTACAAACGGTACAGGGTTATGTCATAGATCTAGTAGGGACCCCCCTCCAGACACAGCCTCCTCGCCCCATCCACATGTCATCTTCCGACCAATACCTCGTCAACACGGAACTACGCGAACTTCGGGACAAAGGGGCTATCCAGCCGACCCACGACGGGGGAGGTTACTTCAGCAATATTTTCCTGGTCCGGAAGAAGACGGGAGAATACCGTCCGGTCATCAACCTACGCGGCCTCAACGCGTATGTGGCGTACCGCCACTTCAAGATGGAGGGCATCCACCTTCTGCGGGACCTCCTACAAAGCAACGGCTGGTTCACCAGACTAGATCTAAAAGATGCATACCTGTCGGTCCCAGTGCATCCGGACTGCCGAACCCTCCTACGTTTCCTCTGGCACGGCCGTCCTTGGCAATTCACCTGCC